GTGTGTGTGTGTGTGTGTGTGTGTGTGTGTGTGTGTGTGTGTGTGTGTTTTAAATGGACACTGGGTTGGGTGCATAGGGAATTGGGGGGTGGATCTGGGAAGAGATGGGGAAGAGGAAGTAAATAAGATTAAAAAAAAAAAAAAACCGGTTGCCGGAAACTCAACTAATAAAGATTAAAGTCTTTGCAACGGTAAATGTTTGAGTTTTCATTAGAATCAAATAATGTCTAGCTGGAAGGAAACTAAAGCCATTGCCGACGTTGAATTTCACCGAACGCTAGTAGAAAAGAAAAAAACTAATACTGCTGTATGTTTATTCTGACAAAAAAAAATTAAAAACACCATCACACACACCAAAAGCTAAAAGAAAAAATTTCCACCAAACAATAAAGAGCATAACTTCAAACTAAAAGTCTGCCCCAAAGTGAGGTCAGCCGACAAGGAGATATCCCAGAGGGTAGTGATTCAAGCTACGTCTCTGCGTTTCCCTGGGGACCTGAGAACACCAAAGCTGGGCCCTGGTTGCCAGACTGGGGGCAGGGAGTGGGACCCACTGATCTACTTATTTTCCCAGAAAAGCAGCCTTGCTACACTATTAAGTTTGGACCGGGGCCTGAAGGACGTTTTTGTTTTCCTCAACTCCCTCCTCGCCCTCGGATGGAAACCTCAACCTCCTTCATGTAAATGAGACGCGGTAGGGGAACAGAGCTCTTCCCTCCAGCAGCCCGGCAACGGCTGGGCTCGGAAAGACAAAACAAGTACCTCGGGCTGGAAAGTGAATAGCACACGCCTAATCAATAGCACGATTACTTCCGACGGAAAGGAGAAAAAGTTGCCCAACTCCTGCTCTGAGTGGGTAGGTCTGGAAGAGGTAGGGCACGCTCTTGTCCCGGGCAGCCCCAGCGCCGACTAGCATCCTTCCTCTGGGGACTTCTTCAACTGCCCCCATCACGTCCGAAGCCGTCAGGCAGGTAGCCGGGGGGGGGGGGGGTACTCCTCCAGGAGCCGCCAGGACGGGGCGCATCCGGCTGGGGCGGTGCCAGCAGACCGTCCGCAGCCGGGACGCCGTGTCTGCGAATCGCCGGACAGGAACAGGATCGGATGGCGGAGTCACCCCAGGTGGGGGCCGCGACACTCCGGACAAGCGGGGAGAGGTGACAACTTTCAATTTAGACCAGGCGCAGAGAAAGTTGCATTCTCCACGCCGCTCTCCGGGCGGGTCACAAGGGCCGCTTTGTAAAGGCGAGCGCAGAGCCGGGGGCCCCAGCCCCGGGCGGGAGAGGCCTTCCCCTCCCCAAGTCCCCAGCGCCCTCGGGCCCGGCCACCAGCCGCACGCTGTTTACACGGGAAGGGAGGGCTCCCCCTCCGCTCGGCCAGCACCCGCGGGTTCGAAGCCCCGCGCCCCGCCGTCCCACCGGGGAGCGCTCCGGGGTGCCGCGCACCCTCGGGCCCCTGCAGGCGGCCGCGGGCGAGCAAAAGTTCCCGAGCGGGCGGCGCGGTGGGCGGCGTGGCTTACCTGCGAGGCGCGGCGCGAGCGCGCAGAGCCCGAGCACACAGGCGCAGAGGGTCGCGGACACCCGCGGCATGGTGCGCGCCGCTCGGCGGGGGCGCGCGGCGGGGACGGAGCGGGGCCGAGGCCCGGGAGCGCAGCCGCATGCCGGGCGCTGGGCTCGGGCTTCACGGCGCCCGTAGCCGGGCTGGCCCGCGCCCCGCCGCCACCGTCATCCTTCTCGCCTGGCTGGCCGGGACGCACCGTCGCCGAGTCCCCCCCGCGTGTCTGCTCCCGGCGAGGCCCCCTTGCCTTCTCCCTCCGCAGCCCGGCCCCACTCTCCTCGGCTTTCTCCTCCCCTCTCTCTCCCGCGGGCCGCCACTCGGTCAGTTTACGGCTAAGGCGGGACGGGGCGGGGCGAGCTCCGGGCCGGACCAGCTCCGCCCTGCGCCGGGACCCGCCGGCACGCTTAGGTCCCTGGGTGCCCAGGTTGGCTGTCATACCCGACGCTCTAGGTGGGGTCGGGGGAGGGTTGGGGAGTTCGAAACTTCTAGTTAGGGGCTCCCTCCCGGGTCTTAGCAACTACGGGAGGGTGCAGGGAGCGCCCCATTAGGCCCGCAGAGACTACTTGGGCCAAAGCAATCTCAGTATGACTTCAGGATCGAGGGCAGGTACCACTCGGATCTGCCAGGGCATTTCGTCATTTCGGGAGCCCATGCCAGTCCGAGCCTCGCCCGAGATGGGACAGAGGCGCCCGGCGTATTGAGCCAAGACGCCAGGCTTGGGATGGGCAAGGGAGGACACGTGGAGCGTAGAGGCACAGGTGAAGCCGAGGGCACACTGTTGAGCAGGCATAGGGCAAAGTTCTCGCTTCCTTGAGTACTGCCAACGTCCCGACTGTTATTTAGATGGGCGAACTGACTGCCGGGATGTTTTGCCCAGAAACTGAGAATGACTGAAGTAAGGCAGCCTAACCTTTGCAGGTCAAAAACCAGCTGGAAGGGCGGGACTTGGAGGTGTGGGTGCAAAACCTACCTGAGGTATTTGGGTCTTAAGCTTGGTTTGTGCCCTCTTTTCAGACTCTGACTGGACGGTACTGGCAGGAGTCAGTTCGTACTGTAGTGTGCATAGGCAAAAAGGGAGCAATCCATAGCAAACTTCAAAATTCACCCTCAGACCGTATGCGAATACCGTACCCTGTAACAGCCTCCTTTGTTTTGACTTAAAATTCATACCGGCTGCCCAACCATTGTCAGGTAAAAGCAGCTCAGGTCCATCTTGGGATTACCTGTCCCTAAGGGCATTGGCCTTGCGGCTACTCTTATCCCAGCTGAGAGGCTGTGGTTCTAAGTTATGGGAACTGATCAAAGGCTGTGCGAGGGAGGGTTGATTTGTCTGGCGGGAGTATGCCGGATGGGTCAGCGGGAAGGAGAGTTGTGGCCTGAAGGCTGGCAATAGCTTCCCTGTGCTCTGCCACGCGTTAAGTTCAGGCCCCACAATATCCCATCTTCTCTGCACCCAAAACGGGCACTTAGTAGCTGTGGAAATACCCCACTTTGTCCCACACCTGGCACAGACCACCGTTTACCTAAATTGCAGCTGTAAAGGGCTATGATCCAACTTGCCCTAATTCTTCCCAAGCCCCTCCTGGAGTCTTATCTGGTGGTTCTCTGGGTGTCCTCAGCCTGCCTAGACCTGCCATAAGCCATGACTTCCGAGCAATCCAGGCTGCCTCAAAGCTGGTTTAAAGATACCTTTTCTAATTCAGAACTGCTTTGTGGTTTGCGTGCCCTCCCCCCACCCCCTTCAAGAATCCTTCCTCTAAGTGTTCACAGATAATAAAGTGTCGGGTGATGAGCAAATATGATGATCTGTTATTTGATCTTAGGAAGAAATAGAGCCGTGTGAGGTGGCACACACCTTTCATCCCAGCACTCTGGAGGCAAAGGCCAAGGCAGGCACATCTGTAAATTTGAGGCCAGCTGAGCTATACAGTGAATTCCACGACAGCCAGAGCAATATAGAGAGGCCCTGTCTCAAAAAAAGAAAGAAAGAAAGAAAGAAAGAAAGAAAGAAAGAAAGAAAGAAAGAGAATGGCATTCTGACACTGCAAAATTAAAAACACCCTATGTGATATAAGACAAACCCAAAGGGACAGATATTATATAATTTCACGTGTTTGTGTTGGAGGAAGGGACTCTCATCTAGCCCAGGCCGGCTTTGAACTCTCTGTAGCTGAAGAGGATGACTTTGAATTATGGATTCTCCTGTCTCCACCTCCTGAGTGGTAAGATTACAGGGGTGTGCCACCATGCCCACAATTGTATAAAGTGTCTAGAACAGGCGAAGTCATAGAAACAAGTAAAACGGATGTTACCAGAGGCTGGAGGGAGGAGAGAATGGAGAGTTTTTTCATGAGTATAGAGTTTTGGGTTGGGATAATTGAAAAGTTCTAGCAATGGGTAGCAGTATCGGCACAGAATGTTAGACTTAAAATGGCTAAGATGATAGATTTTACATTATGTGTCTGTTAGCATTCAAAGAATAGTTAGAGGGATAGAGAAATGGCTCAGTGGTTAAAATGTAAGTGGCTGCTCTTGAGAGGACCTGGGTTCAACTCCCAGCACCCATATGGCAGCTCGCACACACCTGTCTGTTGAACTATGAAGACATTCACATGTGCACCACATAGGGACATACATGAAGGCAAAATACCAATACATACAAAGGAAAAATAAGCTAAGTCTTTTTTTTTTTAAGATTTAAAGATTCTTATATAGATGATGACTATGAAAGATGGGTATGCACAGTGCTTCTGATGTAACCCAGCACTCAGTAAGCTAAGGCAAGAGGACCAGTCCAGGTCTGAGGGAGGAGGAGAGGCAGTAGCAGCCCCACACAAGAATTTGAGATTTATTATGGTATAGCTAGCAGACACTTGGCAAGTATGTCTTTCACCTCTCTTCATATAATCATCATCAGTTCTGGAATTTTTAATTACTTCATTTTCCTGAGAGCAGTCTTCAAGAGGCGAGGCTTGAAAATATTTTTTTAAATCATATATTCCAAAGGGAATGTGTTTTCCCCCCAGCCTTTATGAAATGATTTTCAGGGTTTGTTGACTGTTTGAGGCAAGGTTTCATTATTCTGTAACCTTTTCAAACTCCTGCCTCCGCATCGTGTCTCACAGTTGCTGGTATTACAGATAAACATTGCCACATACAGCCTAAACTGAAATATTTAAAAACAATATCCGGGGCTGATAAGATGGCTCAACTGTTAGAAGCACTTGCTGCTCTTCCAGAGGGCCCAGGTTCAGCTCCTGGCACCCACATCATGCAGTTTACTCCATCCTGCCTGTAACTCCAATTTCAGGGCTCTCATTCCCTCTCCCGGCCTCCTTAGACACCCGGCACACAGCAGGCAGGCAGTTAACATTAGTTGATTCTGTGTTACACTTCATAATTTGGGAGGTGGAAACCGAGGATTCCCTAGAGCTCCCTCTACCTTGACCGCTAGTCTTCCAAGTCACGTGACTCAGGGGCAAGCCAGGCATGACTATGCTTTATAGCTGTTCTTGCGACACTCATTTCTAACCACACTTGAATCTTCACTGAGAGGGAACACAACACCTTTCAACACATGGCGACAGGCAATATAAGCTAAGGGGTTGGATGGGGTCCTCCCTCACCACTAAGCCGTCCAAGTCACTGCCAGGTTGGGCCAGACAGCTAAGAGCTTCTCTCTCAAGCTTCGCCATGCTCTCCCTTCCTGCCAGACGCTGAAGAGACTCAGGATCACGTGCATTGAAGCTTCAGCAGAGAGCTAGAAGAGAACGAGAGACCACATTATTGAGATAATCAAGTAGGTCCATTATCCAAATGTCTATGTATAATACTTCTGTAAGCTTTTTCAAAGCGTGAAACTCAGGTTAATCACAGAAAATGATGTCCTGCAATGGAATGAGACATGTATAATTTAGAGGGTAATTGTAGTCCTTAATTGTTTTCACTAAGAAAATGGAAGTGAGGACCAGAGAGATGGCTTTCCTGGTAAGCACAGGCCTAATGGCCTGGGTTCAATCCCTGGATCTCCTAAAGTGGCAGTGGAAAACTGCCAACTTGTCCTCTGACCTCCACAAGAGTGCCATAGCACACCTGTGACAAGACACATACGTGCACATGCTCACACAAACAGATATTTTTTACATGGTGATTGTCTGGGCCAAAGTTCTATTGCTGTGATGAGACACCATAACCATGGCAATTCTTACAAAGGAAAACTAATACGCCAGTTCAAGGCAAATTAGAGTAAAATTCAGGTTTATTGTGGGCCGGTCTTGGGCGAGTTCCCTGACCTCACAGGAGGGGTCAGTGAAGTGGCCATGCAGAAGGAGACAAAAAAGCGGGGGTGGGCCATGGAGGGGACATAGACACAGGACAGAGAAAGTACGTGCGGAGAAAGAGGAGAGAGAAGAGGCAGAGAGAGTGTGTGTAAAATGTCTGCATTATATAAGGAAAAGCTTCTGGAAAAGGGGATTCCCAGCCCCTGGGCTAAATGTTCAGGGCAGAGGGCAGGGCCTGCCAGCCATACCCTGTAACAGGGAGGGACAGAGGGATGGTGGGAGAACCTCGAGGCCAGTTGTACTTTGGCTAGTGGGCACCTTAGCCACTGGTCCTGGGTCTGAATCCCAACAAAAACATTTCACTGGGGCTGGCTTACAGTTGAGAGGTTTAGTCCATCATCTTCATGGCGGAAAGCATGGCGGCTGGGACACAGGCTGGTGCTGGAGAGTACCTGAGAGTTCTAAAAACACTGGGCCTGGCTAGAGCATCTGAAATCTCAAATCTCACACCCCCAGTGACACACTTCCTCCTACAAGGCCACACCTCCTAATAGTGCCACTCCCTATGAGCCTACAGGGGGCCCATTACATTCAAGCCACCACAGTGATGACTCTTAATCAGAACTGGCTCACAGATGCTTTTTCAGTTGTGCATGGTGGCACACGCCTATAATCCTAGCACCCAAGAGATGGAGTCAGAAGAATCAGGACTCTGTAGCCTGAGCTGCACCCAACCCTGTGTCAAAAACAACAAAACTCCCAAAGATGCCTTTCCTTAGCTGGGATCTTACTGATTTGCTTTTATGTTCCAGGACATTCTTTGCCCTAGCATGCTCCTTACATTCCATGAATACCACAGAGGACTTTCTTCCTAGTACAGAACTAAGATGGGGGTGGAGGGGCATGGCCTTTCAGAAGCCCCTTCCTGGCTAGGATCTGTGGAAAACGCTGGAAGGTCCTCAGAGCAGAGCCAGGCCCGAGGTAAAAAGTAACAAGCGAGAATATTGTAGGTGATTTTTAAAAACGAGTTGTTTATTTTATTACCTTATATGACTGGATGTTTGGCCTGAATGTGCGTGTGTGGGAATGCACCATGTTGCATGCCTGGTCCCTGTGGAGATCAAAAGGGGCATCGTATCCCCTGGAAGAGTTACAGATTAGCCACCTTGTGGTGCTGAGAATTTAATCCAGGTCCCCTGCAAAGGCAACAAGTGTCTCAACACCTGCGCAGCTCTCAGCCTCGTTTTGGGTGATTTAAAATGCTTAACTCCACCAGGGAGAGTATGGGGTGATTCGAACATTAGTAATGGAAAAACTGCTCTGCTTTGGGACTGTGAAGGCTCGTGAGCTCATCAGTTCTGGGAAAGTGAAGCCTGTATTTCCTCCACTGCATCTGTCACCAAGGCCCAGGAAATAAAGGACACTGTCCAGTTCAGAGGTGGGTCTCATACGTTACAATGTGGACAATTTGTCGTTTGTGTCATGGAAGCCGGCTCTATGAGCTGGACTGTCTGGGCTCACATCATGGCCGGCTGTTTTACTAGCTTTCTGACTTGCCCAAGTTAGTGACTTCGCCTCACTCAGCTTCTGAAAGGGAGTAATAATTCTGCCTACTTCATAACAGTCATGAGAAGTAAGGGAGATTACATAAGAGGTACTAAGAATCGTCCCTGGCTTCCAGGGAGCGTCCTGCCATAGACTGGCTACTGCCGCTGCTTTTCACTAAGAAGCCACTGAGCTTTCTGGAATGTGCCAGGGCTGTGCCTGTGGGCTCAGGAATTCCCAGGCCTGCAGAATGGCAGTTTGAATGGCTTGCCTCTGCCCTTGAACGGAAGAGAGCAGTTCCCAACTGTGAGGTGGAAACTCCTCCATATGTGCTCCAGGCTTCCCAGGGCCCCTCTCTAGCCTTTCTTTCTGTGCTGTGTGTTGTTAACTGAGGCCAAATCAGAATACACAGAGAACACTGGGAAGTCCCAACAGCCTTTCCTCGCCTCACAGACGATGATGGAAAACAAAAACTTCTTGCTGGGAACCTTCTGTTTTTCTTTTTAACTGAAGGAATTTTCCATGGAAATAGCTTTATCTCCTTTTTTTATTTCATAAAATTACCACTAAATAAAATATAAAATGTTTATTTTTTTATTCACTTATTTTATTTTCTGTTTTTTTGTTTGTTTGTTTTTTGTTTTTTGTTTTTTGTTTTTTCAAGACAGGGTTTCTCTGTGTAGCCCTGGCTGTCCTGGACTCAATTTGTAGACCAGGCTGGCCTTGAACTCACGGAGCTCTACCTGCCTCTGTCTCCCAAGCACTGGGATTAAAGGCTTGTGCCACCACACCTGGCAAATAAAATGTTTATTATCTAAACAGTCGTACTCAGTTTTATGTGACAGGAGCATTGCTCAGTTCTGGAAATGTAGCTCCATGGTGGAGTAAGTGTTTAATGAGAATGGATGACTTGCCAGGTTCAACCCCTAGCACCATGCTCGCTCAGTTATATCAGAATAACAACAAAAGAGGTTGTTGGTCTAAGGCTCTCGTAAAAAGGTTGCAAATATCTTAATACAGCGCAGCCAAGCCAGGCATAATGGGACACTCCTGAAGTGCCAACAACTATAGATTTTGAGGTGGGATTATCACAGGCTCAAGGCCTGCCTGGGCTACACAATGAGTTGCAGGATACCACAGTTTACATAGCGAGACCATGTCTAGAAACAAAAGACAACAACTACAGAGTGGGCTGGGGCTATAGCTCAGTTGGCACCGTGTGTGCCTAGCATGTGTGAAGGCCTGGGTTTGCTCCCCACGACTGCATAAATGCTGACTAAGGACCCAAAGATGGCTCAGTGTACCAAAGTACTCGCCTTGAAGGTGTGAAAATCTGACTTCAGTACCTGAAGTTCACGGTGGGGAGAACTGACTCGCCAATGACATTCTCTGACCTTCACTTGCATGCTGTGGTATTAGATGGACACACACACACACACACACTTAAAAAATAAAGTTAACAATGATTCTTATGAGCACCTGTAATCCTAGCCCTTGGGAGGGGGAGGCCAGGTGGACCAGTCATCCTTTGGCTGTATGGCAGATTCAGGGCCAACTACCTAAGACCCTGTTCCCAAGCAAACAACAAATGAAAAAGCAAGCAAGCAAGGAAGAGAGGAAGTCAGCAGTTAGAAATAAATGAGCCTCCCCCTCTCTCTCTTCTCCCTCTTCTGCTCCCTCTCTCTCTTCTTCCTCTTCTGCTCCCTGATTCTCTCTCTCCTCCTCTCTTCTCCTCTCTCTCCCTTTCTCTTCCTTTCTCTGTCTCTGCTCCCTTCTCCCCCCTTCCCCTAATAAACCTCCCACATGGAAAAAAAAAAAAAAAAAAGATGAAAGAAATAAATGAGCCTTTTTGAAAGAATGGCTCGAGTGGAGTTTCCCCGAAAGTTTTGGGAGACAGCGCCATCTACTGACCACGAAGTTTGCCGGCCTCTAGGAATGAGCTGAGACAGGAATGAAATGGTACTTCCACAGGAGAGTGCTTAAGGTGTGGTTTTCCTACCTGGCCAGAGGGAAGGATGGTTTCCTGACCTATTCAGATGATTTTTTTTCTTTTAATGTGCTGGTATCTAAATGTCTGGGTTTCACCCATGTTAATCCACTTTCCATTGCCAAAACACTGGATAAATCAAGTGAATTTTAAGAGAGACCAGGCAAAGTGCTTGCTGAGCAAGCCTGGTGGCCTGAGTTTGATCCCTAGGATTCATGTGAAAGTGGAAGAAGAGAATTGATCGTCCTCTAACCCCCATGTATATGTTGTGGTACACATCTGTCTGCCTGTCCATATTCTCTCTCTCTCTCTCTCTCTCTCATACACACAATTGAAAAATTGTAGCATGCCTGGTCCTGTCTGCTGTCCCAATTCGAAAGCCAGGCAGAATTGTGCCGTTGCTAGAATTCCTCCCCTCCTAAGGTCCCAACGACAAACACAGCTGTGATTCCACCGAAGTTCAGGTGAGGGATTGTGCGCAAGGCCACACTCAGTGTGGCGGTGGTGGAGAGGCAGGCAGATGATCTCTGAGTTTGAGGCCAGCGTGGTCTCTGAAGTGAGTTCCAGGACAGCCAGGGCTCCACAGAGAAACGCTGGCTGGGGGGAGGGGGGGGGGGGGGAAGCCAGTTACACTGGAAAGCCTGCATCCCACAGAGCTTCCCCAGGGCTGTGTAGATGGATGGGGCCCCCTTTCCTGGGATACATGAGACCCTATCTCAAAACAGAAACAAACTAAGACTCACTGCTATGAGACTCCCAGAAGAAAGGACACTGTCTATCAAATATGTTTTATTTCATCATTGCCTTGCACAATGAACAGTCAAGAACAAATAATAATAATAATGACAACAACAACAAATAAAAATACCTTTTGAGAGGACCGGACATCAGACAGACACAAGGGCGCGATTAACATTTGAAAAGACAGGTGGCTGTATTATCCCGTACACGTGTGTGTACACACGCGTTGGTGGACACTGCTAAGCTTCCACATGGCTGAGGCCCAGTGGAGCGTCATAGAGTGGACACCTTTGACATCGCTCCAGACCGAAGCCCTGCAGTGTCACAGGCCTTCACCCTGATTCCTGCTTTTAGGACCTTCCCAGAATCTGTGTCCTGGGGGGGGCAGCCCCTGAGAGTACCCATTTGCTGCCTGAGGAGGGACAACATCAGGGGAGAAGATGCCACCTGCTTCCTTTTCCTCCTTCATTTCCCCAGCGTGGCTTCCTTGGCCTCTCTCCACTACCTATGCTCATGTTTTTTTTTTTGTTTGTTTGTTTGTTTGTTTTTTTAAAGATTCATTTTATTATGAATGTAGTGTTCTGCCTGCAGGCCAGAAGAGGGCAGCAGATCTCATCATAGGTGGTTGTGAGCCACCATGTGGTTGCTGGGAATTGAACTCAGGACCTCTGAAAAAGCAGCCAGTGCTCTTAACCTCTGAGCCATCTCTCCAGTCCATATGCTCATGTTTTTTCCTGCTTCTCCTACCAACTAACGTCTGAAGGACTTGACTGTCCCCCATGGAGGGCAGATCTAGTCCCAGCTAGGAGGTGCTTGTGTCTCTTGCCTGTCTTCTTGAGGTGAGGGCCTATCACAAGCCGCTGTCTGTTCAGGAGTGGCACTGCCCAGAGGGTGCTCCCTCTAGATTGGAGAAGCTAACTGTTGCCCCATCGGGAAAGGGAAGCCCCACACCAATCACCATCATAGCATTTTGTACCAAGTGGAGAAAAAACGCTTACAAAGGCCCATAGTGTTGCTGTACATTTAATTTCATAGGTGTGTCTTCAGCAAGCAGCAAGTCTTCACACAGGTCCATACTTAGAGGGGTTGGCAGACAGGGTGGAGAGGAACCCTGGAGGTCAGACCTCTGTCTCTGCCTGTTTCTCCTTGTCCTCTAAACACTCAAGATCACAGCTTGTGTGGGCTGGGCTAGGGAGGACTCCCAATTCTTATTCTGTGTAGGAGGAGAGAGAGACAGAGACAGGGCTTAGAGAAGACTTCCGAACAGCAACAGGGGAAAATTGAGATCTGTCTTTTAACACTTTTTGCCTTCAGCTTTCTCCCTATCCTTCCTTATATCTTTGGGGTGTTTGCTTATTTGTTTTGAGACGGGATCTACATGGCCCACCCTGATGTGGAGGTTTGAATGAGGATGACCCCTGTTGACTTACACGTGTTTAAATACTTGGTTCCTGTTGGTGGAACTGTTTGGGAAGGATTAGGGGTTGTGGCCCTGATGGAGGAGGCATAGCACTGGAGGTGGGCTTTGAGGTTTCAGAAGCCCATACCATTCTCAGTCAATTCTCTCTGCCTCCTACTCTCAGATAAGGATAGAAGCTCTCATCTATTGCTCCAGTGCCATGCTTGCCTGACGGCGGCCATGCTCTCCACCACAATGGTCATGCACTCAGTGAACTCAGTAAGCCTCAGTAAACTCCTCTACAGTGGTCTTGGTCATGGGTCTTGTCATGGCTGAAGTAACTAAGACACCTAACTTCAGATGTGTGGTCCTCATGCTTCAGCTTCACAGAATGCCAGCATGTCTGCTGGTATTTTCCATCACATTTGTTTTGTTTTGTTTTTATGTGCTAGGGTCTCGATATGTGGCCCCAGCTGGGCTAGCCTGGAAGTCACAGGTAGTCCGGGCTAGCCTGAAACTTACAGAGCTCTGCCAGTCTCTGCTTCCTGAATGCTAGTATTAAAAGCATACGATATCATGTCCACCCTGTTTTTTTTGTATGGTTTGTTTTTTGTTATTTTCAATGTTTGAGGTTTTCTTTTTTTTTTTTTTAAGCTACATTTCAAGACCCTTTTCTTTCTCTTTTAAATTTGATTCATTTGTGTGTACGTACATGTTCGTGAATGTGTAAGTGCTTGCATGGAATGTATGCCTGGAGATCAAGCTTTTAGGGGGGGGCTGGGGAGTTGAACTCAGGTCCTCTTGCTTGCTCAACAGGTACTTTACTCACTAAGCCCTCTGCTTAGCTCCCTTTGATTTATTTTTCTTTTTAACAAATCTTCTTTATTCTCTCTTCCCTTCCCTACCCCTTCCTTTCTCTCCTTCCTTTCCTGTACCTCAGGTTTTTGTCCCTCTTTCCTCTAGAGTCACCTCTTATCAGCCCCAGGCCAACTAGTCTTCAGAAGTCCTCCTAGAAAAACAAAATAATTCTGGCCAAACTTCTTTTTTGGAATAGACTTTTTTTTTTCTTCAGGAATGGCCTAAGGCACTAGAATATATGTATGTATATATATGTGTGTGTGTATAATACATATATACGTGTGTGTGTATAATACATACATATAGTATGATGCATATACACATCTATATAATATATATGGAATTTTATTATATGTGTGTGTTGCCTGTATGTATGTCTCTGTACCATGTGTGTGCCTGATGCCTGTGATAGCCAGAAAAGGTCACTGAATGCCCTGGGACTGGAGTTACAGACAGTTGTGAGCTGCCATGTGGGTGCTGAGGATCAACCCTGGCTCCTCTGGAAGAAGAGCCGGAGCTGTTAACTGCTGAGCCATCTCTCCAGCCCCGGCGCTGGATTCGGAAGTAAACTGTTGCCCGGGGATGTGGAGGAAGAAGAGAGCTGCTTGTGTGCATTTGGCTCACAAGGTTCCCACGGACTTACCCCGTAGCCATCATTCTCTCCGTGCCTGACCTAGACCCTTTACAGCCCGGGTGCTGCCATCCCAAGCGGCGTAGTCATGGAAGTGGATATTTAATTTAATTTTTTGTTTTGTTTTTGGTATTATAACTCATATATAGGGCCTCAAGCTATATTACTGAGGCCCCTTTTAATTACTATTTTAGTAATGCAAAGTACTGAGTTTCATCTTGTATTTTGTTCTTGATTGTTCTCCTCATCTACTCTCTCCCACTCTCAAGCTCTCAAATCATTCTCTTTTCCTTTGAGACAGCATGTTGCTGAGTTTTCGAGGCTGGCTATTCTGGAGCTCAGGCAGGCCTTGCATTTGCTCTCTTCTTATATCCTGAGGAGCTATTACGATTGGCTCTGGCTGGAGGATAGGTTCCATTTTGTCTATTTATGACATTTGCACACTTGAGAGGCGGGGACACACGTACCACAGTGTGCATATGGAGGCCAGGGAGCAATTCGTGGGCGTTGGTTCTTTCGCTCTAGCATATGGGTCCTGGGATTCAGCTCAGGCCATCAGGCTCAGAGGCAAGTGCCTTTACCGGATGAGCGACCTCACCAGTGGATAAGTTAGAAGCACTCAAGGATGCTAAGACTGAGCCACTCTGTTTTATAAAAGAGGAACTAGAAGCCGTGAGAAATTCCGGGACAAAGCTGACACCATGTAAATGGCCGTTAGTGTCAGTGATAGCCAAGTGATAGCCATTGCAATGGGTGGGGCCTCTTTGCTTCAAACAACCTCTTTGGTTGTTTGCTAATTTCTTTTTCAGAAAATTCATTTATTATGTATTCAACGTTCTGTCTGCATGTACACCTGCACAGCAGAAGAGCATACCAGATGGTTGTGAGCCATCAAGTGCTTGACTGGGAATTGAACTCAGGACCTATGGAAGAGCAGCCAGAGCTCTTAACCTCTGAGCCATCTCTCCAGCCCTGCTAATTTTTTTTTAAATTTCTTTTTCTTATACGTTTGAGTGTTTTGCTTGCTTGCATTTGCATATGCGTACCAGGTGCTTGCCTGGAATATATGTAAAGGTCAAAGAGATCATTGGATCCTGAGGAAACTAGAGTTGGGTGATGGCTGTGTATCACCACGTGGGTGCTGGGAACCAGGCCTAGGTCCTCTGCCAGAACAACACGTGCTCTTAACCGATGAGCCACCTCTCCAGCCGCACTTCCGTTTTCCTTTGCCTGTCTGGGAGAGAGAGGGCACTCACCTAGTAGTCTGGGCGGGGCATGCTTCGATGGTTTTCGTAGGGATTTGAGGTCTGACTTGGGATCCCTGTCCGGACTTTAGGAAAGATGCTCTTGTCCACTCCAAAGTTGCTGAAGCCGGTTTGCTGCAGGCGCACATTGTGAAAGTCATCCTCGATCAATTTCTGCTCTTCCACATCCTTCTTTTTCTTCGTTGATCTATAATCAGTAAAAAACGACTTAGGACCCAGGGATGAAAGTTTTGTTTTGTGAGACAGGCTTCACGGTGTCCCAATGGCTGTCCTGGAACTCACTGGGTCGACCAGCCTGGCCTTCAATTCATAGAGACCTACTGCCTCCGCTTCCTGAGTGCTGGGATGAACCCTGGGCCGGCTTAGTCTCGAGCATGCACAGTACCGCACTAGGGTATCCATGCTTACGAAAATGGCCACAAACCACACGCGCATACACAATGGAGAGAAAAAGGAAGTAGGGCTTGGCAAGATGAGAGGACTCTGGCTGGGCCCGTCAACGGCCGGCCTCCAGTGGGGGAATTCTAAGCCAAATCTAAGCGTTTGTCCTCACAGAGGTGTCGTCCAGCCTCACTGTAATTATGAGTCTACGCGCCTTCCTGCCCATGAGCCAGATCAAGAGGGTAAGGACGCAGGCCACTCCCAGCACACCTTCCCGATGTGCTTCAGTCACATCGGGAAAGTCACTCGCCCGGTACCTTAGGTAGCCAGCTTTGCTTACGCTGGGGATACCCTGGCGATCCTGCCTTTGACATTCTGTGCAAAAGCTCCTCTTCCTTATGGACTGATCAAGGAAGCGGAACTTAATGCTGTATTCCCAGGAACCCTGACTCTCTCTGCCACAGGATAAAGGAGCCATGAGGCGAAGCTGTCAGAAGGCCACACCATTCTATAGGAACTCTGGTCTCTGGAGGGCCAGGACAATCATTAAAGAGGGCATGGACTCGCTGCAAAACCAGGAATGGTCTGCTTCTCTTCCTAGAAGTGAGAAAGTTGGATGCCCATGTGGCTGGTCCAAGCTTTGCTCTGGGAAGAGTTAACATCAAACATCATACCGCACCCCTCAAATGCATACAATTCAAAAATAAGATTCACCCCGTGGCTAGCTCACACCTTTAATCCCAGCACTGGGGAGGCAGAGGTAGGCGGATCTCTGTGAGTTTGAGGTTAGCCTGGTCTACAGAGAGAGAGTTCCAGGACAGCCAGAGCTATACACAGAGAAACCCTGTCTGGGAAAACCAACCGAACTAACAAAACAAAAAACCTGAGTACCTGTCCATTCTCTACAGTTATAGGGGGGAAAGGCCTGAGCTAAATGCTAAAGGTTAGGGGGGAAAGTAGCTGCTTTTCACAAAGCGAATCCCACTGCCGCTTGCAGATGGGAAAGGGGTCACAGTATTCGCTGCCTAACTCCTGGGAGAGCTGAAGCCCCAAGGTTTCTGCAGAGCTTGCTTTGGGATCGTTCAGCAGGGTCCTAGGTAGGGGGTTGGTTTGTGGGAAGTTATATAACAACGTTGGTGGAATTAAGTATATGTTTGCTTGTTTTGAGACTGTCTTAGGGCTGAGGCCGGCCTGAAAATCTTCATGAACCAAGGATGAGCTGGAACTTCTGAGCCTCCGGCCTCCTCCCACCCTATCCCCACTCTTACCCCCACCCACCGTCACACCTGGTTTATGCTATGCTAGAGCGCAAATCCAGGTCTTCATGCAGGCGGCTACCCAAGCCGTCTGGCAACTGAGCCTGGCCCTGGATTTTGTTTTTGTGAGACAGGATCTCATATAGTCAAGGCTGGCCTCAAACTTGCTACGTAGTTGAGGATAGCCCTATCTCTTAATCCTCCTGCCTCCACCTTCCAAGTACTGAGTTTACAGGTGTGTACAGCTCTGCATAACTTGAGTTCAAGGGTGCTAATGGAAAGTTGTTTTTCTGTTGTTTGAGACGGGGTCTCTCTACAGAGCCCTATCTGTCCTGTAACCACTATGTAGACCAGGCTGGTCTCGAATTCACAGGGATCTGCCTGCCTCTGCCGTAGACAACTGATTGTCAGGTCTGATTAGCATGAAGCAAAGATTAACTTGAGCCAAAAACAAATTAAATCATAAAGGATGTATAACCATGTATATATGTGTAGCACCACTTAAAAAGATAGGATTAAGTAAGGGCTAGAGTAATATTCAATGGGTAAAAACATTTACTGCTCTTACAGAGGACCCGAGTTCACGTCCCAGCACTCAGATTGGCTTACAACTGCCTGTAGCCCCAACTCTAGGGATATGACACCCATTTCTGGATTCCTCAGGCACCTATACTCACATACACTTGTACATACATACATACATACATACATACATACATACATACATACATACA